TAAACAACCTCTTGATCTTCATATCTGTGAAAAAAGAACCAATTTCGTTATTGAACTTTTGCATACCGTGTAACTCAACAGAATTTGTGCTGTGTATAAATAGGGTTAATGTTTTAAAATGAAGAAGAGGTCAAATTGAGATCTAAAATGCAGTCTAATCTGGAAGAGTATTTAGGGAAGTAAAGTGCAATTAGGTTCAGTGTCAATAGGTTGTTCTTTACCATGCGTCTAAGGTAACATCGCCATCATTTTTTGCAAAAATTATCAAAGGTGATGTTGATTGAGAGTATTCAAATTCATAATGGTCGCGACCAAATGAGTTTTTACAAAATTATTTTATGGCAATGAGTAATATATATCTGACAAACACCCGTAATGTGGGACTTTAAGAGTATTGGATGCAATTGGAATGCAATGAGTAGGCCTGGAGATTTCATTGGATTTCACAAAGCCTTGTTTCCCTAAATCTATTATCATCTAGGGTAGACGGAACTTTTGACCCTCTTAAATCTCATCGGCAACCTCAGTGAGACTCCAACCCGGGTAGTGAAGGACCGTATTTTCCGGCGTATAAGACGACTTTTCATACCATAAATTTCTGCTCCTAAGTGGGGGGTCGTCTTATACGCCGAGTGTAGTTTAGGGATCGCTAATTAGAATATGGTTGCGAGCTCCAGTTGTGCCCCTTACCTCCTTACAAAATCTATATTTTAACTGAAAAAGTCAGGGGGTCGTCTTATACGCCGGAAAATACGGTATATAGTCTCAACAGGATGGCCACTACACAACAACGTCACAAGTGACCTCAGGTCACACGACAGATGTTAAATTCAATGGAAACTTGAGTGCTACTGATCTTATTGTAGGAAAACTCAATTATTAGTCCTTCATCAAATTAAATGTAATAGGATGAGTAGATCTTATATAGATGATCTAAGAATATTCGCGAAAATCTATTTATAAATGAAAAATAAGTATTAAAGTCAATTACTATGGCAAATACAACTTTGCTTCTTTAACAATTCCACCACAGAAGGTGGTACGGGAAAGGTCTTTAAATTCCTAAAAATTCACATCTGCCCTATGATCAAAGGGCACTGGTGGCAGTGTGACGCAGTGGTTAACGTGTCGAGATTATACGCTGTACTAACACAATCTGGATTCGAGTCCTGCTGAGGATGTAAATAAAACTAGTTTAGGAGAAGTCAAAATTGCAGTCTATTCCAGACTGGATGAGAATACCCTTTAAGCAGCAAGGCTGAGTGAAATCACATGACAACATCAGGACTAGTTAAACGAAATAGTGGGAATATATCTCATATAGCTAATCTACCGATAGTCTTGTAGTGACCTATCCCCACACTTTTCCGATTCAATGTTTAGTTTTTGTTACATCCCATTTGGAGCCATGGCTCAACATCCTCTGGCGCAGAGATCACGTGAGTGTGTGACTAATCTTGACTCTTTATTTCGCGTCACCCAATCAAAGCTTGGCACCGCATCGTCTAATCAGAAGTCGACATGAAAAACTACGGAAGGGTATATCAAGTGGCTAACATTCTGGTTAAATCGTTCACGTTGTTTTCCTTCTCTTTCTCCGCTCCACCGTGGCCCGCGGGGTTTAGAATGTTCTATTTGGCCCCATATTTAAATGATTGACTTTCTACTGTCCTCACCCCCATACTGTATTTGGCCGTTTCAGAATAGGACAATTGGTAATACTATTTGTTACTTTCCTCTCTTAGTTTCGGCGCCTCCATCTTTTGAGTTTTTGAAGGCAAGCGTTTTATACTTTTGCGGCAGTTCACGTCCTTCTTAAGAACACAACAGTCTTAAAAACCTATTTATAAAAGAAAAATAGTTAACCCTTGCCATCAACGTGAAAAAGCACTTTTTATTACGGTGTAACTCATTGAGGCAGAGGATGAACTAGTTGCATGGATATGACTTAGAGCAAATTGAGGAGTGAGAGCTAAAACTTTTAAAAACCTAGTAACGTCTGTGGGATTATAGACAACAATTATTCCCAGTATTACTGTATTCTTCTTTATAAGTACGATGTTTTAGCATAATCGGAATTGAGACTTTCCGAGATTATTATGTCTAGCGGGACAAAACAAATTAAATAATAGGCAAATTTTCTCTTATTTCTGCCTTGTTAAACTAGACTCTGGCATCTTTCGTCAGACAGTAAGAGATATGCCATTAAAAAGGTTAACACGTGATAACATGACCTTGATTATTATTTGATAACCAAAGTTAAAATAGTAGAGAAAATTGATGAAGTTTTACCAAGGATTTACAATACCTATTCCCGTTTTCTGAGTCGTCTTCAATAGAATCATCAAGAAAATTGAATTCTGACTGAAAAATTAAACAACAATTTGGTTAATCCAAATTATGGTTTGTATTAAAGTGGTATATAGGTTAATTTTTATTTTTTATTTCTAAAACATAAACACGTCCTTGTTGGTTTACCTAATTTGGCAAGCAAACTAGTTGGAGAATATCCTTAAACCCTAATTTAGTTTCGTTCTATAAACATAATGCGGCTGGGCAAGTATCCGTAAAATTTTCAGGATGTCTATTGCTCTTTGAAATGGATACTATCTAAACACAGAGAGGGGCATTCCGCATTCACATTTCAATAAGACCATTATGTAGACCTTCAGTCTGTAGCTTAATTAGGTCATGTGCCTGTCCATCAGCCAGATAGTCGATTATAATTTTTATTTGACTATGGATATAGTGGAGCTCGTATGGTCGATCAAATAGATTAAGTTTGTGGTTGTAGAAAGGAACTGTCCACATTTTCTGTAAGTATAATTTACTTAAACGAAGGTAAGAAGACAAAGATGGTGTGGCCTTTTGTGTGGTCGCAGACTCCTTTCGTTGTATAGAAGTTGTTTGACCTTGTTTTCGCAACTTGGTCATATTGGTGGGAAGACTTAGAAGAATGTACCACGTCCACGGTCATTCTCTGGAAATGATCATGCATACAATGGACTACGTACTAGGCGCGTTCTTCTAAATCTTTAGTTTTTGCATTTAATCGTGCACTCTTCACAATGTGTTTGATATTTTTTTTACTTTGAATGATGAACCTATTTCCTTTCATTTGTACTGATTGCTTCTTTCTGGTTTACTTGTAGTTTCTTTTCTAAAATTAAAAATATTACTTAGAGGAACGCACCTAGTCCGGAGTTCATTGTGTGCATGATCATTTCCAAAGTCGGACCGTTGACGTGATGCATTCCCAGACGTTACGCCGGCATCGTCAGTAAGTCTCGCCATTCTTAGCCCCACACGACAACTCGTCAAAGAGACAAGCGAAGCTGATCCTTTGACCAAACGTGTGCTAATCAGTTGTGGTATCACCCCTTCTGCCCTGAGCTATTCATATTTCCTATATCCCCCTATCACGTCTTCACTGTTAC